CTAGTACCAATTAATCCTAACCATTGCAATTTCTGAGAAAATAAATGCATTCTTTTTCGGTGAAAGAGCTTTTAATACCAATTATCCAAAATTAGGGAAACTTTCCCCAATTTGTCTCTTAGAGTACGCAGTCTAATGTTACAAATTCGTCCATTTTGGAAAATCCCCAGTTTCTTAGGGTAAGTGGTTGTTGCTATGGTTATTAGGATAACTTCGGTAATAGGACAATTTCACGATGTCAAATATCGTCATCGTGCAATTGTCCTATTAGTGGATTTTGCTGAGTGCACTTAATAATGAGTTCTAAAAATAAAATGAGAAGTCTCCAGAATCGTCGGGAATTGATCAGTAGTTTTATGTTTACACTTATCTCTATGACAAGAAAGCAAATTTAAAGGACGACAAACAGCTCACTTAATTCTGGCAAAATTACTAACTTTGCGAAATTAGTTCTAGTACGGTCAATAAAATGAGAAGTCCCCAAACTCTTCGAAATATTAATCATTTTATTGGTGCCGGACACAATTTGTTTCAGACGAAAATGAGGACATATTTCCTTAATAAAGCTGAAAAACCGCCATTTCGCAAAATAGTAATTCTATTGAAATTACTACTTTGCGAAAAAAGGTAAAAATCCGTAAAAATCTGTTCGTTTTGTTGGGCTTAAAACTGCTAGCATTTAAATAAGATCTTTTATGTATTATTGTTATTTATTTGGCAATGCAAAGCAAGAGGCTAAGCGCCAAAATTACGATTTGCTGGGAATATTCTTTTCACAGCAAAATAACGCATCCACATCTGATTTGTCTGGACAAAAAATAGCCATACTTCATTGAAATTTAACCGGAGAATTATGCATAATAGACGGAGAACATCCGATCTCGGATGCCCTATGAAACCCCTGCTAGCTCACAACCGATCGGCCTTCTTCTAACATCTGCATCTCTAGTATATTTTTTCGGTCCAGTCTACACAACTAATTAATTGATTTTTGGGAGAGGAAGATAGTATTCATATGCAGAAATTGAGGTGAGATAGCCAGAATTCGAGTATTTCGCCAAAATGGCATGACTTGAGTCCTATCCGCTAAGAATACAAATCGCTGATAAGAAAGGTCGGGGACCTACACTTTTCAAAATTCTGTCGAAACAGATAAAAGTTTAAAGTCAGAAAAGTGAACAAAATTCGGCTGAAAATGTTTCACCTGAGAACAAAGAAGGGCGTCAGGACGCGTGATCCAACCCAAGGTCTAGAAAGGTGAACGAACGAGCCACTTTGAACAAACGAAGCTCGTTATCAAAATTACTTATTATTTCGAAAATCGCGGTGGCAAACACCTTTCCAAGAAAAGGAATTAGTTTTCTAATAACGAACTAATGTTCTCCTTATCCTGGAGATGGCTTTAAGAGAAAACTCAGTTGCAAAATACTAAGAGCTCAGTTGTGTTGTTACTGAGAATTACCGTGCAACTAGGCCGCTAGGGCGGTAGCAACATACTAACGTCTTTATCTTTTTAACTTCTGTACGTGCTGAAAGCAACTACCAAACTAAACAACGCAGACAGAATAAACATCCAAGTTCTCCAATTATTCCTTTGACCGCTTGTCTAACTTCATTCATCTTCCAGCAGTATAATATCGGGTTTAATGTTGAGTTTAGATAGACTAAAGTCCCTGCATACACTCTAGCAATAGCAATAAATGGAGGCAATCCTTGAATTGTCAAAGCCTCCACTATGACTATCGGCAGATAACAAATAACTAATACCAACTGCACCCATAGTGCACTAGATACTGCCTTTCTGTAGCGCGCCATGTTGAATAGATTTGCTTCGTGTGACTGTCCTTGGTGAAATTGATTCTGCACGTGAATTTGTTGATGACGGAGAGCATGGAAAATTTTCCCAAAAGAAGCAGTCGATAAGACTAGGCACAGTGATGTCAGTATAGAGCCGTACCATGTGGTTACTTGGGAATTCCAGAAGTGCATTGTAGTACAGACAACGGGCACAATCCATAACGCAGTTACAATTAGATAGGTCTTCTTCAAAGTTACCAGTTGTCTGTATCTGAGCCTCAACAACAGCGCTAGAAGCCTGTCCAAGCTGATGGCCGTCACTGTCGACAAAGTCACCCCACACAAAATATGTCCTGAGATATAACTTGCAAAGAATGCATGGCGACAAATGCTCCATCGTCCGGTTACAACTGCGATCAAGTAAATGACACCCACTGGTGCCACAATGACACCAACACAGAGATCGGTTGCGGCTAGGTTACGATACAAGAGTTTAGAAGGTGAATGAAGAGATGTCACTTTCTTGAGGGCTAGTAGGATCAGAGTATTGCCGAGAAACGCGGTGATAGACAGGATTGTGTTCAACACTAATAGAAAAATCAACTGGCTTTGTATTCCTCTGGTTAATTCTACGAAGCAAAATATTTCCTCGTATTTTTCTTGTTCTCCATCGGCGGTGAGATGGCTCGCCGTCATCTTTTTGCATTAACACTTAAGTGACAGGTGTAGAAGGCCTAATGTAATAAACGATCCTAAATGTAATAAAGTCCTAAATGTAATAACATTTTGTCCTAAATGTAATAAAGTCCTAGATGTAATAACAATTTGCCGTAAATGTAATAAACTCTTAAGCTGCCAATTACAGTAATTACTCGAATAAGCCCCGCCCTCAAATAAGCGCCGCATTTGGGGGGTGGGGGGGAAGAGTTAATTAGCGCCGCGGTGCTTATTCGAGTAAATACGGTACTAAGCGGTATTGCTAAGCAATATGGTATTACGCTCTCAAATAAGCGCCCCATTTTTGGAGAAAAAAGTTTATAAGTAATAGTATTTTTCCAAAAGAGCAATATTTAAGCAATAGAAACCTTTTTTCCTGTGTTTGAATAGCCTGATATAAACACTCGAGGGGTTGGGAGAATTGGAGACAGTTATGCAAACCCTCGACGTCGTCTCAGGTTTGCATAACTGTCAAGATCGAATAAAGAATAAAGTCCTAAATGTAATAACATTTTGCAAAACGGGGTAATATAAGTATTTTCAAAAAAATATTCTCTCCCTCGCCACTAAAGCGGGCCCAGCGACCTCTTTACATTTAGAATGTGTAATCAACCGTTGTTCGAGTCCGTTGTCAATTTTCAGCAGCTGGTTTAACAAGACTACAATACAGTAATAATCATCCCGTGTCCGGCCTGTTCCTTATCCGGAAGAAAAAAGCTTTTTTGCGCAACTAGTTCCCCTATTTCTTCCGCTTCCTGCTCTTTTAGAATTCCCACCTCCCTCCCTTTCCACTCATGCGTCCCGCCCGTATCCCCTCCCCCCTATTTCCCACGGGCTTCCGTCCCCCTGTCCTCCCCGACTAGTAGTGATAACCGGACAAATGACCACCTGTTTAACTATATACTGCCTTTTTAGTTTGCGAATGATTATTTATTTTAAAACGCATAGGTCTTATAATGGGTCAGGCAATTAACCAGTTTCAGCCTTACGTATGTTCATGCAGTATTCATGTAGTAAAACTCACTAAAAACTATTCGTGTACCTCGCGATCTTCTTTTTATAAACTTGGAGAGATTTTTTCAAGAAATTAGTTCGGTGGAGCCTTTCCTTTTGATTTTAATTTTACATGTTAAATAGGCGGTAGCTGTTAACAAGCAGAATTATATTCGCTTTTATCTTAATTTTAGTGTTCCTTTCTATAATTGCGTGCGTCGTTGTGAGTAGTCTAAACTTCAGTTAAATCGACAGACCCAATAGTTAAACTTACTACCCTAGCATATTTTGTCACCAAAAAATATTCACGCCTCGAAACAAACACATGGACTTTGAACATTCAAACGGCTGTTAATGTTACCCCAAACAATTTTTAAATTTTATTGTTAAAACCACAAAAGGATCAACATGACACCACAATACAGAAGGTTTTAAATTTAAACTAAGGTGGTAATGACTTCAAATCGTAACTGTCTTAGACGGGAAGTTTCAAATTATAGACACATGCATTCTAAAGTCAATAACGTTTCTAGCTTGCACCTGTGCCTGCTTGGTTCAAGAAAATAAATTTCGTAATTGGAATAATTTTATTGGATAAGGCGGAGTATGATCTGGAGAATTATGCAGATCGGGGAGAATGTTGTCGACCAAAGCAAAATTTGTGACAATTTCTGCCATTTTCTTCAGCTTAGCCTCCGTCGGAGAGGTAATTTTACCTCGATTATATAATAACGTCTGTGAAGCAGCGTCGAGATCCTTGTTCTCAGTGGACCACCTACGGACTCAATAAATTACCGGAAGTGCGTTTCGAATTTCCTGTCATCTTGATCGACCAATCGACAATAGCTTTATTACCGACCAATCATGGCACGTACTCAAATCCTGGCACACAGGCGGGGCGGCCAGAGCAAGGATTACTGGGAAATGTTGTTCTGTTGTTCTTGAAATATTAGATTAGTTTTCCCCTGGTAAATTATTATTTGTCGCCCGCATTGCATTTTAGGTCGTAATTCGGCGGACGCTGTTATCGTTTTAGAGTTATGCCTCAAATAAGCCAGCCTTAAAGTTTATAACAGAGACAGTCGTGTTTCATCGAAAAGTTTCAAGGGCGATTAATAAAACACCTGCTTCAAGTGTTTTTAACAGCTTTATCAAAACGCCCTCCATGGTATTTCTCATTTGCTCTTATTGGTCGATGTATTGTGATTTGAAAGCCTGCAAGCCTGCATTTTAAGGCAAAAAAAGAAAAGAAAAAAGAATCAGTTCTACCAAAAGTGAGCGCATTTAAGTAAGACAGTAAACAGGGTGAAAGGAAAGAAAACCAGGAGCGATTTGGGGCCGGTGGAAATTCTTGCGTGGCTTATGCTTCGCTAAACACTCGCACGTTTAACATCTTGCACTTGAACAGAGTTTGCACGCAGACTCAGTCAATGTCAATGGGCCCAGTTAGGGACTTTAATTCTTCATTACCAAACTTATTCCTTAGATAGTATAATGTCTATTTTGGTATAAGAATGCTAACGTGACGTTCTTTTAATATGAATAGTAAATTTAAACTTCGTTAAGAACTTAAATAAATTGTCTCCTAAATTGTAAGATAAATTGTCTCTATTCTTCTAGACGAAGAAAGTCCCAATGGTAACCTTTTCTTGAGAGTTGAGAGCTCATTAAGCTGTACAAAGATAACTACTGTATATTGCTACTTTTCAGACTTTCGTTTCGTTAGGCCAAGATGTCTTGAGAGTGACTTGGAAGGACACCATTGTTAGAGACGCCGCAATCAATGCTGTGAGTTTGTTGGTTATTCCATTGACATCCCACAATGCAATTCAGTCAGCTACGGCTTAGCCGAGATAACAGTCCTGCTGATCTATAGACAAAATTTACAAACTCATTTTTTGATGCAGCAAGTTCTTCAAGGGCACCAACCGATGTCTATAGTGCCATTACTACCATTTCAGTAGCAAACAATCCTTGGTTAAATTTTCTTCTTTTTCCCTGGAGGTTGTTTCGTGACTGGATCTCCACTTGCTGATCTTTTCATTGACTGGTTCGAGTTAAATGGACCACGTGACGTACTAGTACCCAACGTTGTACCATTGGGGACTGGTTCAACAGATGATCCCGCTTCAGAAATGATTCCATCTTTAGAATCAGCTTCTTCAGTCTCATTCTTTTCATCACTTTTCTTGGACTGACCTAACAAATTGTCAAAAAAGTCATGATTGCGATGATCAAAGTGCATTTCTCCACACTACGTACAGTGTATCATCAACTCAAGTACCATATTTTGCAGGCAGTCCATTTTGGAAAAATTTAAGAGAGAGTTCAAGAGACAACCATCATAATTGTCAGAGTGTTTGATACTCTCTTTCAACTGCATAAAATCAACTTTTTCAAAATGCAGCCAAAAGATAGGAGTGTAGCAGGGCATTCAAAGTGATTTGTATCATCAATTTTTCCAAGACTTGATGATGTAAATTATTCCTTTTTTCCCCTAAATTATCATTTTTTTATTTTGTTTCTGAAAATATTATTTTTTCAGACCCACCAACTTTCTCAGATGCCACAGATCTCACCAATTCTTTTTTATTCCTTCTAAAAAGTTACTGTTGTCTATTTACTGCAAACTGACACCAAAATCGTATGATTACCTATGTTAAATTTGAGCAAAATACTGATCAAATACTTACCAGGTAATGCCTGGCCCTGTTGAAGAAACTGCGGTGGAAATTTTTTTGATAGTTCACCAAGGAGGATATGAACACCTTCTCTCTGGAACAGCGAGCTGGGTTCTGAGTTAGGATCCTTCACTGATTTTGTTTTTTCACCCTTGTTGTTTTTAGCACCTTCATTATAGGAAAATAACCACAAACACTGGTTTAAAGTGGTAGAATGGGGAAAGGAGAAAAAGAATACATTTATTTCACGTCTTTCTCATTATAATCACTAACTTCATCCAGTGCTCTAAGCTTTGACCATTTTGCTCACCAAGGTAAGAAAAAATAAAAAAAATGGTGTCTAAAATTGCTGCGGAAGTTGCCACTTCGGCAATCTGTGTTCAGTACATGGTAGTTATGTGCTAAGCCATGGTGTTTTACATTTGTAACAAGTTCCTGTTTACCATCTTTCTTAAGTCTGGGTGAGACCACATGTGAGTCACTTGCATGAAATATTATTAATGCTCCATTTTCTTTTTATTTCGCCTCTGTCACCCTGGCTGTTCTGATATTATTCCTGGGTATTAAGGTACATAACTTTTAAAATGACTGATGAGGAGAGAAAGCGTTATCTCAGTGATTCAATGCTCCTTTCCATTGCTTGAAACCCAGCTGGTCATAATTATGTTCATAAAGCAGCACAGGAGGTCATTATTTTCTGTACAATGTCAGTGACCTGCCATCCATCTATTGAAAATAATAACTTGCTCTAAACAATGGAAAGATGCATTAATGTTGTATATTAATAAAACTTTGATAGAATGATTTTATGTAACCCATGAAATAGATAGTAGAATATTATGCACTATTATGCACTAATTCCATTCTCTTCTTTTGTTTACAATTAGTAGCTATTTTGCAGTAGATGTTAGTATCTGTTTCACGGGTCAAGTAAAATCCCTCTTTAAGTCAGAAAGACAAGCCAATCAAAGCATTAGCAAAATAAACATCCATCTCAAAAGTAAGCACAAAAATCATTTTCATTAACTAACCATTAGATTGCTTCTGTTGTTTGTCTTTAAACTGCCACCAATATCCCTTGGATGGATGATACCTAGAGTAGGATGATGCTGTATAAGATAAGAAAAAAAGGGTCAGTAAATGGAAAGGGTGCAATGAGCAGACTCTCAAAAAATGTATTCCAGAAGCTTCAAGAATTTTGCAGAATATGAGACAGAATAATTTCAACACACCTTCATCAAAAGCTGCTTGTATGTGATGCAGGGCAGAATGCTGTGGACACAGAAGAAGCAAAATCTCTCTGAAAATATCCCCAGCACAAAAATTTAACAAAACAAAAACATAAACACTTTACCACCCGACAAAAATCTAAACTAAAACAGGGTTTGACAACAAAACAGTGCAAACAATAATAAATTAAAGTGGTACTAATAACATTATACTTGAGGCATAGTTGGTAGAGGAGACTGGTTACGACTGGTTATTGGGCAGGGTAAAGTCTGATGGGTTTCACAACCATTCCACCCTATTAACTACGCTTGATGTTATTTACCAATCTTGAGTTGATGACAGAGCACAGATCAGGGGCCTGATACACCACTCCTGCTAACACGTAATAATCTGCAATAGGTGTAACTAAATGCAAAAGAAATGAGTGGATAAACTGATCAGTAGCAGAGTTCTCCTGGTAAGCGGTTAGTACGTGTACATAAAATGTACTTGAAATAGGCCATTTGCGATTTCTCCTGGCCTCTGTATCAGAACAACGTTAAGTGCTTGGACTTTGAAGTGGAAATGATTTTTCATTCTCATGCAAATAAAACCCATTTTCACAAGAAAGGTTGTGCACTTGGCCTCAATTTAAAAATGAGGGTTTTTGGAACTTGGAAGTGGCCTATCGTAATAAACATGCAGGCTGTCACTACTGTGGATTATATAACATAACTGGCACCTTATTTCCACCTTTATTAAATCAGAATGGATCCTTTCATTATTGCCTGCTTTGGGATGTTCCATTTTGTATCCGCACCACCCATAAAGATGGCTGGAATCTGCACCGTCAAATTTCTGTCAGCCTCTTTAAAACCTTTGTTCAAAGGGTCCAAATTCTATTTGCTTCTTTGAAGAAATAATCCAAACACCCCTATAGACTTTTTCACGTTTTTTTTTCAACTTTTGACATGGACAAGTTAGGGAGAATCCGTCGACACCACTGAAAAGAGCACCTTAAGATTAATAAAATTGCCTAGTTTGAAAGTGGTTTGTTGAAAACTAACAAAGGTATAGATCCTCAAAATTGCAAAATTTTACAGATGTTTGCATGGTGGCGGGCATAAACTTGCCCCCCACCATACAAATGTCTTTAATTTTTTGCAGCTTTGAGGAGCTATGATTTTTTTCGCTTGCTTAAGACATATCACTTTCACATTTGGCAATTATATTAATTTTAAGGCGCTCTTTCCAGTGATGTCAACAGATTTTCCCCAACTTGTACTTGCCAAAAGTTGAAAAAACCGTGAAAAGGTCTATTCAAAAACCTGCCATCCTTTGGGGAGTTGTGGATAAATAATGGAAGGTTCCTATATACTCTATTCGATTTTGTCGTCCATATTAAGTAGTTGGGTATTCTTAAATTCTTCTGAGCTGGTGCGACACATGGAGAGAATAATTGGACATTATCCTCCTTGTTCTGGCAGATTAAGTTAGATCGTAGGTGAAGATTAACCCACTGTTTTGAAGCACCCCAGACTAAACTGTACAATGCCCAATGTAAGCTTTCATAATTGCATTTATCTGACCTTGCGTTGGAGAGATTCTGTGCTGCTTTCGAATGACATAGAGAATTGGATCCTGTACATGAAGGACTTCATACTCAATGCCTGTCATGGTCCTTAAGAAAAACAGTTTTATCGTCAAATCTAGTAAAACTAATTTAAATAAGTCTTAAATCTTATAGTTGACAGTTTTACGTAGACTTAAGCTTACTGTAACGTAGACGGATCTAGCCTTTGCATTTTCACAACTTCATTGTTACAAGTGCGATCATAGAACGGGTTAGTTCTTTGTGAAAAGTATTCGAGAACATTTCCGGGATTAAGAGCCGGAATCCAGGCACTGTCATGCCACGAAACTCCCAACTGACTTTCAGACGGCTCAGCCGCCATTTTGTTATTTTGCCGGTTTTTACTTCATGGTGAAAAGCCACAAGTGCACTGGTCATAGGAATCATATATGACGTACTTACCCCACTGATACTAAAACCGCAGGCCACAACAAAATGGCGGCAAGATTCAATAATAACAAGAACGACAAGAACGGTTTCTTGATGTTTTCATGATTGTGATTTTTTCTTGGTCGTTTGTTTATGTTCTGTTAACAGTTGACTGATCAGGTAAGCTTTTCACTCAGCTGGATACGTTACTTATGCATGCAGTTTACTGGTACTCTAACACTACAGCAGTTTGTGTACAGTCGAACCTTCACTATTAAAAAAGTACGGCCACCTCTCTACAACAGCCAGTTTATTTTGTCCCGACGTACAGTAAAGTCCATAGTTTGATTCTTATTTAAAGCTCTATACAACGGCCACCTCTCCATAAGGGCAAGGGACACTAAAGCGTGTTCCCAACTGCGAAAATAACTTCTCGACAAAGGCCAGTTTTTTCAGCGACTGATGGAAAAGTTAAGAATGGTCATGAAATTTGCTCCTTATGGCGCTTTGATGATCAAAGTCACGGCGATTGCATTTTGATTTTGTTTCCTTTATACACTGCTGCAGCCCGGGGGGGGGGAGGGGGGTACTCCCTATAAGGGCTTAATGGGGACGTGCGGCCAGCCAGGGTATCTTTTTCGGGATTTTTGTCTTCAACAGGGTATCGATTTTATCATTTTTTGTCTTAATCTTGGTATCGATTTTATCAATTTTTGTCTTAATCAGGGTATCGATTTTATCAATTTTTGTCTTGAACAGGGTATCTTGTCTTGGACGATAAACAGCCTGCGTGACTCTGTTGATCAAGCTGTAAATAGTTTTGAGATTGCGAATGGATTAAATAAGAAAAAGTTTCGATATTTATTATTGTCTTACACAGGGTATGGTTTCGGGTTAAGTATCTTAAACAGGGTATCAAAAATCGGAATTCTGTCTTAAACAGGGTAGGAAAATCAGCGATTTTTGTCTTAAACAGGGTCAGGGTATGAGGGGCCGGGCCACACCTCCCCACCCAAGGATGCATGTATCGAGTACCCCCCCGGGTGCTGCAGTAAGCGTTAATTGTCTACGCTGTACATTAATTGTAGCGAATGTTGTGAACCTTTCTCGTTTTGACAGGTTAACATTTTGTTTCAAAACATAATTCAAGCATAATTGTATAATTTTACCTTTATTTATTATTTATTATTGGATTATTACCATTATGGGTGACAGTAAGCTTGAATTTAGCACGATAACTTAATGTGCTCCCTAAAAAAATTGTCAGATTGCACCCCTATACCTCCCCATAACGGCCACTTTACCACAACGGCTTTTTTTTTCTGTCCACTAGGTGGCTGTTGTGGATACGTTCGACTGTACTTTGAAAAATAAATACAATAAGCTTAAGCTTAATAATAAAAAATCAATGAAAAAATAAGCAAATACATAATGAACTTTACTAGAACATGAGTAGTAGTATGAGATACAAACTCCCAAAACAATTTCCATTGATTCAAGTAATCAATAAATTTTGCTTAAGGAAGAGTTCATTATCTATTTGGCGTGGAAACTGGCAAATGGAAAAAGTCAAGGTCAAAAACATATGCTTACCAACTCTTACACATTATGTGTGAGTCTCATGCCTGCCGACATACATCAATCCCATACATCAAGGACAATTTCTCATGCCTGACTCACAAGCAGATGGATTGTTCTTTAATACATTGATTAACAACAAAAATTCAATCCAATTTCCTTGAATAAAATATTCCAAAAAGATGCTCAATTTTGACTTTGTATCCTAAATGTATAGATCTCAAAACCCTAAAATTTTTGCCTTTTTAGTAGCTTTTATAGACAAGACAAAAATTTCATGCATTTCACTCAGAAAAAGGTGGCAGGTATAAAAATGTCCTGTGCCCCTCTTGACAGTATAGCACAACCTGGAAAACAAAGGAAATGAAAACCTGTCAGTTTTGTTGGGATCAAGATTGACAATAATTTGTATTACTAATTGTAATCTGATTATTTTCGCTTTTATACCCACAAACACATCAAAAAGCAAGCCAGATGAGATGTGTGCAACAAAGGCAACAACAAGAGCCTACTGTATCAAAGTCTTACTCCTTGCTCTATTTTTGGATGCCTTGTCGTCTTTAATGGCACATGACTGTCATCGTAATTCGGACCCAATATGGCAGGCAGATGTAGGATCCTCTCCGGTTGTATCAAGCCCTTTGGTGGCAGATTTGAATGGTGATAATGTGAATGATGTGTTAGTTACTTCCTTCAATGGCCAAGTCTCAGTGGTTGATGGTCGGTCAGGGCAGGAACTTCCTGGGTGGCCTGTGAATCTTCCAGGAAAATTGTTATTTGCAGCACCATTACTGGTACGTAAACAATAGGGAATAATGTACTATTGACACTTTGTAAAATTCTTTGTTTGTCATGGTTTGTCATGGTTTGTCTCACCATGATCTTGATCATTATGTGATGACTACCAAAATACTGCTACTTATGCTTCCATGCATAAAGATGGATAGAAGCCTGCTAACCATAACCTGCAACCTTTTGAGATTGAGTCAGTTGCATCAGTTTACCTGATCTGGTCTGATCCAGGTTTTGTGGCTGCCTAGTAGACACTTCTTCACCAATCAATCAATAAAAATAAAGCTTTATTAACGGTATCACTTCATTAAAAATGCTCTTCCAGTGAGCCGTTTACAAGACAAAATTTTCAGAGAAACTACATTAATGCTAAAATATATCTATATATTAAGAAAATCTATCCTATAATAGAGTACTAAAGTGATGACGTCATAAAAATGAAATTTCTGAAATTATGGGATTTGTCAGGATATTCTGAAAGAGCAATGTCCAAGAGGCCTACTTGCCAAAAATGAGCATTTCGGGGCAAATTGTCTCTGTGATCGTAGCCCAGTTATGCTTAGAAAACTCCATACAAACCCTTCTAAATTTTTTTTGGGTCGACCCAAAAATCAATTAGAAGGGTTTGTATGGAGTTTTCTGAGTATAACCGGGCTACGATCTCAGAGACAATTTGCCCCGAAATGTTCATTTTTGGCAAGTAGGCCTCTTGGACGTTGTTCTTTTAGAGTATCCTGACAAATCCCATAATTTCAGAAATTTCATTTTTATGACGTCACACTTTAGTACTCTATTAATCACACAAAAATCAATCAACCTAAAAGGTACATTAAATAACTAAAATAAAATTCTATCTCAACTCCCTCAAGGCAATCCCTCGTTCAAGACAAAGATAGGGCAGACTTGAAAGAGTTGAGATTTATCTCGTCTTTAAGCACATTTTTTAGGCCATTCCACATGACTGCTCCCCTATAGCTAAAGGCCCTCTTAGCAGCTTCAGTGCGGGGCCTTGGTACAAAAATGTTGTTCGAGGCACCTCGCACGTTGTAGGAATGAACCCCAGAGGTTGGTTTAAACATGTTCTTTAAACTCTCAGGGTAAAGGTTATTTAGAGATTTAAAAACAATTATTGCGAGCTGTTTAGAGCGTCTTTGCTCAAGGGTATCCCATCTCAAGTCTTGGAGGGTATCCACAGATCTTGTATTATAATCACTAAATGTTATAATTCTCCCTGCCCTATTTTGCAATCTCTGGAGTCGGTCACACAGACCTTTTCCCATACATCCCCAGACTTCGGAGCAATAATCAAAATAAGGAGCGACTAAAGCATCATACATTTCCAGTAGGGTTTGGCGAGGCACCAGGGAACGAATACGTTTTAAGGCCCCTATACCTGCAGATACCTTTTTACAGATGGTATCTACATGGGATTGCCACCCCAATGCCTCGTCAACCTCTATTCCCAGATACCTATAATTAGTAACCCGAGTCAATTGTTGACTATTAGCAGTAACGTTTAAGTCACCATTTAAATGCCTTAGTCGGTAGTGGCTTCCAATTATCATATATTTTGTCTTTTTGACATTTAATGTGAGTTTATTGGATTTCAGCCACTTTTGAACCTCATCCAAGTCTTTGTTTAACTTTTCTTCTAGAGTTGCGGGGTCATAGGCGGAAAGGGTAAGCGAGGTGTCATCAGCATACATGAGTGCAGATGATGACAGCTCGCATTCTTGTAGGTCATTTATATAAATTAGAAACAACAAGGGTCCAAGTACAGAACCTTGTGGGACCCCATAACTAACAGGAAGATAGTCTGATAGAGTTCCATTTACATAAGTACTCTGAAAGCGATTTGATAGGTATGATTTGAACCACTGAACTGCATGCGGGTCGAGACCATAAAGTTGCAGTTTTTTTAACAATATGCTGTGGTCAACCGTATCAAAGGCTTTCTTAAGATCCAGAAAAAGTACACTGTTAATTAGGCCATCATCAATATTTAAGTACCAGTTGTTAGTAGCTTCAAGCAAGGCAGTCAAAGTAGAATGCATCGGTCTGAAGCCATGCTGAGAAACTGTCAGCAAATTATTGTGAGTTAGGTACTCATAAAGTTGTTTGAAGATAACCTTTTCGATTATTTTACTGACAACTGGTAGAATAGATATAGGTCTATAGTTATTAGGATCAGACTTAATATCCTCCTTATATAAAGGTAATACTTTGGAAATTTTCCACTCGTCTGGAAAATACCCACACCTAATGGATAGGTTAATTATATGGGTGAGAGAAGGCACGATTTCAGGACAAGCTTCTTTCAAAAGCCTTGCAGAAATACCATCTAGGCCTGTAGCCTTGTCGACTCGAAGCGAACTCACTAAACGGTGAACAACACCGCAGTGAGTCTCGTTCAGGGTAAAACTAGAATTTGATGGCGTAATGTAGTCCTCAAAACAAACACTAGTTTTGGGAATATTATCGGCTAACCTAGGCCCAATGTGAGTAAAGTGATAATTAAGAGCATTAGAGATTTCTAATGGGGTAGTACTTGAGTTATCTCCAACATCTATTCTATTTATTTCAGTTGTTGGTAAATTTCGGCCCAATATTGAGTTTACTCCTTTCCATGATTTCTTAATA